GTTTTCTCCATTTTGTCATACTTAGGTAGAGGAGGCACACTTGCAGCTTGGCAGAGAGCAGTGATCAAGCAAGGGAAAGGAAGTGATGTTTGTTTTTGGTTGGCTCTGATTCCTAGCTCTCGAAATATGATCTCTCTCACATCAATCTTGATGCCTGTCATGATGCACGCAATGAGGAGTGCTTTCTCAATGTTGATGTCAGTTTCATTCCTAGACGGCATTAGAGGGGATGTGACAAAGCTAAGCCAATATCGACCCTCCCTTGTGAGATCCTCTTTCTAAATCTTGTGTTTAGGATCAATCCAGGCCGGTGTCCTCTTTGCTATGACGGAGGCAACCCAGGCATGCTCGTTGTTCTTGTTGGCTACCTTAGCATCATATTCAGCTGTACCTGACCTCCAATTCTCAAAATACCGGTCATTAATAGTCTCATCACCACAACTAACTTGGACCCCTCGCAGTAGGATAGATTTTGCAAAGATCCTGTTTTGCTTTTGTTCAGTAGTCCTTCAGGCACCATATGAAGCATAAAATTCCCTAAAAATTGTCTCATTGTATTCATCTGGGACCTTATTGAAGAATTCCCACTTCTTCTGCTTGATGTTTTCGAGTATGTGAGGTTAATGCTCCGACAACCCATTTAAACTCAATTGGTTCTCCTCGAGAGTTTTTCTCTTTGAAAGCCCGACTTATAAATCTATGGAGCCCTTGACCCCAAACCGGAGGTTAAGATCCTCCCCCATCTTCCTTCATGCCTCAGCCTGTAGATCAACAGAAGGCCCAAGGTCACTCTGTGACTCCTCCTCTTCAGATAGGGAGGAGTTCTCAGTAGTAATGTTGATTACCTGAGCCCGCTGGTGTTTTGCTTATTGTGCTTGTTGGCTAGCATTGGCAGCCCTTTTCAGTCGATGACCGAACGGTGATTGCATTGGATTAGACTTCTTTGGTTCTATTCCTGTTGATAAAATATTGTAGGAGTGAGTGAAATAGCAAAGGGAATTCATTAGAGACAAAAGAAAAAGAACAAAAAAAGAGTCAACTATGCGATGGGTTATGCGATTGCATATCAAGTATGCGGATCGCATACCCATCGCATATGTGCATAAGCATAAAGTCAAAACAGTTATGCGATCGCAAAACCAACCGCATAAGTGGTTATGCGATCACAAAGTGACCGCATTTGGTAAAGGTAGAAAGGCTGGTGGTCTGCCTCACTATGCGAGACACATGCGGGCAACATAAAAGGTGTACGATCACAAAAGCAATCGCATAACCCATTATACATTAGGGAAAATTAGGGGTCATATATGATGACTTTGCGGACCGCAAAGAGATTATGCTGCCCGTAAAGATCATCTTCCTCAACGAACAATGTCCTCCCCAAATCACGTGGTTTCCTATTGCTACATATTTAGAAGTCTAATGTCCATGTATTCAATTTCAAAAAGAGTGGGGTACTCAAACTTCCCCCTCTTTGGTCACAGCCCTAACAAATGACTCACACATAGTCAATTCACACACAAGAGGGGACAATGGTATTTAGACTTCCCCCTATTTGTTTCATCAATAACAATCAACCATAATCTCAAAAGGATTCCAAGGGGTCTGGGAAGTGACCAATTAGAGCTCAAGAGTACAGAAGCATCACACTAACGAGGTGGAGAAGAAAGAACATACCAGAAGCACGCTATACTTTGTGAGAAACGAGTTCCTTGTGAGTATTGATTCGTTTTGATCCTTTACCTTTTCTTCCTTAGCTGATTCTTTGTGTTCTCTCTTCTTCCTTTTTTTATTTTTCTTTTTGTTCTTTTGATTTGATTTTTTTAAACGTGAGTGTGTGATAGAGTGGGTTAGGGTTTATACCTGGCAGATATGCAGCTCTTAAGTTCGTCTCATAAAACAATATGCGATCGCATACGTGTTATGCGGTGGACTTATGACTGGGCAGCCTAGATTCACTTTGCGTTATATAATGCGATTGTAAAGGGGTATGCGGGCCGCATAAAGGAAAAAACTACAACATAGTTGACAACTAATGGAGCCAAGTTCTCTGCCTGAGTGTGCGATGACTATGCGGTTCGCATAGTCATTATGCGACCGCATAGTTGTCGCCCAATCTAGACCTCTTTTTCCTTCATTTTCTTCAGCCCTAGGACCCTATTCATGATATTTTGGGACTACCTGCACTCTAGCACACACGTCAACTTGCTCAATCTAAACTACATAAATAATAATAAATAAATAAAAACTACAAAAGAGTGTTACCATACACCAAAAAGCACTTGTTTTAACGTTGTGGCACGATATAGTTGACCCCTTTTGGATTATTCCTTGGTGGGGGTTGCTGTTGGACTATCCCTTAGAGCAAATTGTTATATAAAATGCCTTTCTCCTACGGTACCAAGGTAATGCTTGACTCATTGTCCATTCACCTTGAAAGTTCGAGTCCCATCCTCCGACTCCAGTTTAATAGCACCATAGGGGGACACACTCACAACTTTGAACGGGCCAGACCATTTGGACTTGAGTTTACCCGGAAATAACTTGAGTCTTGAAATGAAGAGTAAGACCAAGTCACTAGAATTGAACTCCTACTTCAAGATCTTCTTATCATGGACAAACTTCATCCTCTATTTATACATGGTTGCACTCTCATAGGCATGGAGACAAAATTCTCCAATCTCATTGAGTTGTGTCATCCTCAGATTAGCAGCCTCGGCCCAGTCAAGATTCAACTTCTTCAATGCCTACATGGATTTGTGTTCAAGAACCATTGACAAGTGATATGCTTTGCCAAAAACCAACATGTACAGTGAAGTGCCAATAGGGGTCTTAAATGCTGTGCGATATGCCCACAGCGCATCATCTAGCTTCATTGACCAGCCGTTCCTGTTTGCATTGATAGTTTTAGCTAGGATGTTTTTGATTTCTCTGTTCGAAACTTCAACCTTACCACTCGACTGAGGATGGTAGGGTGTGGCCACCTTGTGCTTTACACCATACTTTTCAAGCAGCCGGCGAAAGCCTTGTTGTAGAAATGAGACCCACCATCACCCAGGATGGCCCTTGGAGTACCAAACCGTGTGAATATGTTCTTCTTCAAAAATATGGTTACACTCCTTGCTTCATTGTTAGGTAAGGTAATTGCCTAGACTATTTAGAGACGTAGTCCACAGCCACCAAGATGTAGGTCATGCCATAAGAGCTAATGAAGGGGCCCATAAAGTCTATCCCCCACACATCAAAGATCTCGGCCTTTAGTACAAAATTCATAGGCATCTCATGTCTTTTAGATATTGACCCTTGTCTTTGGCATTGGTCGCATGCCTTGACCATTTTATTTGCGTCTTGGTAGATCGATGACCAATAGTAGCCACATTCGAGCACTTTTGCCGCCGTCCGATTTCCTCCATGATGGCCCCCAACTAGAGAATCATGGAATGACTTGAGAATTGGCATTACCTCGTCTTCTGGAACACACTGTCGGATGATATTGTCGGCACAAATACGGAACAAAAAGGGTTCCTCCCAATAGTAATTCCTACACTCCCGCAAGAACGTTTTCTTTTGATAAGCTTCCAATCCATCGGGAACAAGGTCACTGACCAATAAGTTAGCGATGTCGGCATACCAAGGAGCAAATGTGTTAGACAATGTCAATATGTGTTCATTTGGAAAGGCATCATTGATTTCAAGGTCTTCTTTTGTTCTCCCTCCCTCTTCAAGCCTAGATACGTGATCCGTATCTTGATTTTCCGTCCCTTTCCGATCTCTGACTTCAAAGTCAAACTCTTGCAACAAAAGGACCCATCAAATCAATATTGGTTTGGCATCTTTCTTCGCCATAAGATATCGAAGAGTAGCATGGTCGGTATACACTATCACTTTGGACCCCAATAAATAAGCCCGAAACTTTTCAAAGCATAGACAATGGCAAGAAGTTCTTGCTCAGTCACAGTGTAATTCATTTGAGCGCCATTGAGTGTCTTGCTTGCATAATAGACAGGGTGAAGGATCTTGTTATGACGTCGGCGAAGCACCGATAGCTACACCACTTGCGCACACATGAATTCGAATGGAAGAGACCAATCGAGTGTGAAAATAATAGGTGTCGTGGTGAGCTTTTCTTTCAATTCCTCAAAGGCCTTGAGGCACTTCTCATCAAATACAAACTTTGCATCTTTCTCAAGGAGTTTGCACATGGGATTTGCAATTTTGGAGAAGTCCTTGATGAAACGCCTATAAAAGCCGGCATGCCCCAAAAAGCTTCGGACACCTTTAACTGGAGTAGGTGGAGGAGGCTTGGAAATGATCTCGATCTTTGCCCGGTCAACCTCTATGCCTTGTTTGGAAATTTTGTGGCCCAAAACAATGCCCTCGTCCACCATGAGGTGGCATTTCTCCTAATTTAGCACAAGGTTTGTTTCTTCACATCTTTTGAGCACTTGTCTAAGGTTGTCAAGATAATGCTCAAAGGAATCACCCACGATAGAGAAATCGTCAATGAATACCTCTACGAAATCTTCCACCATGTCTGAGAAGATTGACATCATGAACTTTTGGAAAGTAGCTAGAGCGTTGCATAGCCAAAATGGCATCCAGCTAAATGCAAACATCCTATATGGACAAGTGAATGTTGTCTTTTCTTGATCTTCCAATGCAATATTGATTTGGTTATAGCTGGAGTATCCATCCAAGAAGCAGTAGAATGACCTCCCTGCTAGCCGATCAAACATATGATCAATAAAAGGCATAGGAAAATGGTCCTTGCACATAGCAATGTTTAGCTTCCGGTAATCCATGCAAACCCTCCATCCGGTCACTGTTCTTGTGGGAATGAGCTCATTTCTATCGTTTTCAATCATGGTCATGCCTCCCTTTTTCGGCACACATTGCACCGGACTCACCCAAGAACTACGGGGAATGGGGTAGACTACCCCGGCATCTAACCACTTGATGATTTCTTTCTTTACCACCTCATGAATAGAAGGGTTTAACCTTCATTGATGCTCCACACTTGGTTTACTCTCATTCTCCAATTGTATCTTGTGTTTGCAAATTTCGGCGGGAATCCCTCGGATGTCCGCTATTGTCCACCCAATAGCTTGCTTATGCTCCCTCAAGACATTCAATAGTTGTTCTACCTGCACATCATTCAACAAAGAGGAAACAATTACCGGTAGAGTGTCATCAGAGCCAAGAAATTTATACCTCAAGTGCGGTGGAAGTGGTTTGAGCTCTAGTTACAACGGCTCAATAATTGAAGGCTTGGCGAGAGGAGTGACTCTATTCTCTAAGTCGAGTGAGAGTTTATTTGGAGAATAAGTGTAGGACCCAAGCCCTTCCAATGCATTGACTGATTCCATGTACCCCTCCATATCTTCACCATCGAAATTTACCAAAATAGCCGCCAACCCTCGCCAAGGCATTGTTCTTCCATTTTCATTTCAACTGTGTCTTCCACCTCATCGATAACATCAATCACGGAGATGCTTTCATATTTATGTGGCAGCTTCATACCCTTGCTTGCTTGGAATGTGTCCTTTTCATCATTTACACGGAACTTGATCTCATTCCGTTCTGAATTCATAAGTGCTCTTCCTGTAGCAAGAAATGGTATCCTCAATAAGATAGGGATCTCTTTGTCAACTGCACAATCAAAAATTACAAAATCGGCGGGCAAATGGAACTCCCCCACTTTCACAAGCACATCATCAACAATTTCCGCCGGTGTCTTTATGGAACGTTCAGCCATTTGCAACCTCATACTTGGAGGCCTCGTCATACCTAACCCCGCTTTCTTGTAAATAGCAAGAGGCATTAAGTTGATGCTAGCCGCATTATCATAAAGAGCTCTTGCAAAATCACGCGCCCCAATAGTGCATGGAGTGAAGGCTCCCGGGTCTTCTTTCTTTTGAACGGTGGTTGTTGCAATAATGGAACTATCCCGATGAGTCACATTCACCACTTCATTCTTGGTGGTTTTCTTCTTGGTGATCAAGTCTTTCAAATACTTAGAAAAACTCGGAATCTATTGAAATGCTTCCACAAATGAAATATTTATCTATAACTGCTTGAGAATGTCATAGAACCTTTCGAGTTTGCTATCATAAACCCTCCTAGAAAGTCTTTGAGGGAAATGAGGAGGAGGTCTAGGAATAGGTGGTAGAGTTTTTGGCGTCTCTTTTACCTTTTCCTTAACCTCTTCCCGGCTCACTTCTTGAACTTTCAACTCTTCCGGGACCTTTTTAGCTTCAACAACAATTGGCTCTTCAACTTGTGCCTCAACCTCTTGTTCGAACTCTTCCACTTCAACCACTTGTTCACTCTCTCCTAGAAGTACCTTCCCACTCCGAGTAGTAATTGCCATGCAATGAGAAGTTGGACCACTCCCACTACCCTTTGGGTTCGCAATTGTGTCACTTGGGAGTGTCCCCTTTTGCTTACATAACAAGTCTAAAAATGCAGAAAACAAGGATAGGAAGGAGGAAAGTAGGGTTGGGGACGCCATGCAGCTACCTTGCAGTCTCCGATAAGATCCAACAAATGCTGGGGAGCCTCACTCTCCTGCTCGGGCACCTGGATATGCACACAAGGTGCAGGGAGTAACGTGAGTACGACAACTGAGTAAGTAACTAAGTAAATAAGGTCTGAGTGCAATGACGAGCAGTTAAAAATCATATATAAGAGTACACAACACAGTGTCAAATCAAACTCAATAGTTTAAAAGTTAGTTACTTCATAAAAACTTTAGTTTCAATTGAAATACTTTGAAATCATTTACTTAGTAGCTTTCAACAGAGGCTCATTATAAAAGAAGAGTGAAATCAGCAAAGATATCATAAATGGGCCTCTCGGGCAAGGTATCACTCAATAATATAGCCCTCGGGCAAGCCTCTCAGTCACTCGTGACTAAGCTCTTGTCACTCAGTACTCACACTCAGCACTCAGGCTAAATAATATCTCATAATAGTAATAATCATAATAACCGCTGCGGCGTGCATCCCGATCCATAGTTTATAGTCGACTACGCTCACTGGTGTGTACATACTCCGGAGGGGCTCCTATAGCCCAAGCGTCATATCGCTGCGGCGTGCAGCCCGATCCATAATACATACATATAATATTGCTACGGCGTGCAATCCGATCCACAATATTTATAATCCTCACCATTTGGTCCTCAACCTCTCTCAGTCATTAACCTCACAGCCACTCGGGCATAACAGTGGAAATCAGGGAAACTCAGCCCAAATAGGTTTCACATTTTAAGAAATAGAGTGATAAAAACCTAGTTTAAACAATAAACAGGTAAAACAAGACTGAGGATATGCCTCCAAACAAATAGAGTGAGGAAAACAGTAAAAATGCCCCTAAGGGTCTCAACAGGTCGGCACAAGGCCTCAAACATGGCATACAACTCATAATATAGTATCAACCTCTAAAATAAGTGATATCATAAGATTTAAAATCAAATACGCGGCTCAATAGTCACTACGGGACATACCAAGTCACAATCCCTATGGGTGCATGCCCACACGCTCGTCACCTAGCATATGTGTCACCTCATTTAACAAAACAATACGAAATACCGAGGTTTGTACCCTCAGTTCCATATTTACAATGGTTACTTACCTCAAACCGGATGAAATACTACTCCGCGATGCCTTTGCCTCTCGCCTCAGCCTCAACTCACACCGAATCTACCCAAAATCAGAATCATAATATTAGAATATGCTAAGGGAACGAAGCCCATGCGAAAATAATCAAATTATACCAAAAATCCCGAAATTGGCCAAACCCGACCCCCGAGCCCACGTCTCGAAATTCGATAAAAATTACATCAATAGATTCCTTATCACTCCCCGAGTCCATTCATATCAAAAGCACCAAAATCCAACCACAAACGACCCCTCAAATCCCAATTTCTAGGTCTCCAATTACAAGCCCTAGTTCTTCAATATTTAAGCTTAAATTCTACAAATTCCATGATTAATTAGGTAGAAATCACATTAGGATTGAGTATTAAGTCCATAAATCTTACCTCCAAGTATTCCCCCTTGATTCCCTCTTCAATCCTCTTCAAAAAGCTTCAAAATCACCCAAAATGGAGGAACTTAGGCTAAAAATCGCAGAAATGGGTCTTTTAAACTTTCTGCCCATCACTTAAAAATCCTTCATCGTGATCGCGACTACCAATACGCGAACGCGAAGGCTTAGCTTCCTTACTCACCGCGAATGTGACTCCCCATCCGCGAACGCGAAGAACAAACCAACCTGGACCCAACTGCTCACCTTTCCTCTACGCGAACGCGGCTAACCTCTCGCGAACGCGATGACCATTGACCTCAACCCTTCTTGATCGCGGGACTACCTTCGTGAATGCGAAGGCCAACTTCACAGCCTCCCATCCTAACCCTTCGCGAACACGAGGGCCTACTCGCAAATGCGAAGAACAATTGTCTGCAACACTACATCAGATTTTCTGCAATCTTTTTCAACATCAAAATGGTCCATTTAACCACCCGAAACTCACCTGAGGCCCCCGGGACCTCAACCAAACATGCCAACATATCCAATAACATCATTCAAACTTTTTCCAATCTTCGGAACGCTCAAAACAACATCCCAACACCAAATTTGCATCGGATTCAAGCCTAAGAATTACAAAATCTTCCAAATTTTGCTTTCGATCAAAAAGTCTACCAAACCACGTCCGAATGACCTGAAAATTTGCGCACAAATCCCAAATGACACCATAGACCTACTGCAACTCCCGGAATTCCATTCCGACCCCTATATCAAAATCTCACCTACCAATCGGAAAATGCCAAAATTCTAATTTCGCCAATTCAAGCCTAAATCTAGTCTGCACCCCCAAAACACATTCCGATCACGCTCCTAAGTCCCAAATCACCTCTCAAAGCTATCCGAACCATCAGAACTCACATCCGAGCCCTTTATCACATAAGACAATATTCGGTTGACTTTTCCAACTTAAGCTTACTCAAAAGAGACTAAGTGTCTCAAACCTTACCAAAACCTCTCCGAACCCGAGCCAACCAACCCGTTAATACAAAATACAGCTGAACAAGGTAATAGAAAGTAGAAATGGGGGAAATGGAGTGGTAACTCATGAAATGACCGGTCGGGTCTTTACACATACTACACNTGTTGAACAAGGCAATAAGAAGCAGAAATGGAGAAAATAGAGCGGTAACTTATGAAACGACCGGCCGGGTCATTACAAGAGTGCTCAAACAAGTTCAGGCCAAGAATGGATTGAGTTTGGTGGTAGATTTTGAATCCATTCCCTCGCCTCTCCAGTCAGTGAGAACTTGAACACCCTCAACCTTATGGAATCATATGAGCCGTTGTTCTGCTTGTGCATCGTACACACACCCAAGAAGTTCCTGAAATGTTGTGTCGGATCATCATTAGTGGAATTCCTAAACCCCCCACTTTGAGCATTAAGATTAAACCATGTTCCACCTTGAAAGTGGCAGCGCCAACTCTCGGAGGTATAATAGCATTTGTATTCTCAATGTACTCATCTATGTCCGCTAAAGGATTTTCTTCTTCCTCATATTCGACCATGTTTTCCTTTCCTATCAACACCAAGCAAAACAAGCACAATGTGATGGAATAGAAGAAGACGTAAAGTAAAGCACACACTAATTAGTAATTTCCAAATAGTATTTCCCAGATATAATGCCAAAATTGATACGCTCAAATTACATTTTAATTAAATAATGTAAGGTGGGTGGTGTCAAATATAATAACCCAATAAGGTTGGGGTCGAATCACATAGGGAATATGGTGTGAAAAGTTTACTTGAGTAGTGTGAAACTTGAGTTAGGTCGTAATTCTATTCCTTTAATTTAACAAGATAATGATATAGTTGTGAATTAAGGAGATAGCTAATTGTGTTCTAAGAATGTAAATAATTTGATTAAGGAAACCAAGGTTGTGACCCCATCAATAAAATGTAATGTTATCGGTGTTAATATGATATATTTCTAATGGAAGGTCCTTTGATATGCAAATGATTTCTAAATGACTACCCAATATTTTTCAATGGTTGAGTAGTATTTTCCTTGTATGATTTTTTCAAATATAAGAGAGTTGCAATTTAATAACAATCAATTTATTCCAAGTAGAACCCACTAATTCCTAAGCGATTCTATTAAACAAGATTTAAAGTCTTGAGTTCTTGATATTCAATTCTACCAAATCCTAACTCACTTTTCCAAGTAAAGAAAGATTAAAATGGAATAGATTAATGTTTGCAACCATCAACCATAAATAAAGAACAAGAATTGAATAAATATCANACTTAAAAAAGTGCAAGATTCCTTCTTCACAAGGTTTCAAATTAATGGAAAATTCAATGCTCTCAATGTAGGACTTTTTCAGATTTGAATGACCCACAAAACCCTAGTTATTCTTTTTATAGTGGACCAAAAGTCGTGGTCAAAATCGAACAAAAATGCCCCTTCAGACCTCTTATGCTACCGCATAGTGGTCGCAGACCACATATGCGGTCCGCATACTCTTCATTCCATCGCAGACTTAATAAGTCACTAGTTCCAGCTTCGGACGCATATCGATTATGCGGTCCGCATGTGTGTTATGCGATCGCATATGCCATCGCAGATCATGATGAGATACTTCTTCTAATGGAATTATGCGACCATTATGCGGCTCGCACAAGTGTTATGTGACCGCATAATGGACCGCATATTCTTTTCTTCATTTGGCCAATAAATCTGTCTCAGTCTGCGATCACCCTCTGAATTATGCGGTCTGCATGTAAATTATGCGGCCGCATACTTGCAGCATTGTGCGGTCTACATGTAAATTAAATAAAAATACATTAAAAGACGAGTTAAAATTTAAGTAATTGGTATCTAATGTGCCGAAATTCTACGACACATCAATTAGCAGTACTGAGATGTTTTGGTATGATGGTTTTTACAGTGGGACGTTCAAAATTGACATCAGCTTCTTTGTCCTTATTTTTATTTGGGTCTCCACCGAAAAAAAGATTAGAATTTCTAAATAGCGCAATGAAAGAAGCCATGGTAATAAAGGGTCAGTAAAACTTTTTGCTAAGAGAGTTGGAGAAGATGAAAAATTTTCTAAGCAGATGCAGAGTGAGTGCAGAGAAGAAGGGACTTATGAAAATTTTGGAAGTAAAGAAGTAAAATAATGAGTAAAAGTGAAGTTATCGACGACAAAAATCATGGTCATGATTATCTCAAAAATCGGCAACAATGTTTGCTGAATCGCAGGACAACACGTGTTCGGGGTATTAAATGCAAGAAGACATGCATCCTTTCAAGCGTCAGAGACTGTTCAGGAACTTTTCCTCCAAGAAAGAAATCTTCACCAACTTCCTGGTAATACAAAGATATGTCACCAAAAACAGAGGGACTATCTTTATACGGTAACATTGGTTTATAATAATTGGTCAAATGATAGCATGACACGTGAAACCGAAGATAGGTAAAAATTAAGTCAAGTAATGACCATTACTGGATACAATAAATTTAACCGACATCGGGTAAATCCCAAGGGGAGCATGGTCAATTGGAGAAGATCAAGTATTTACCATCAGATCGCATTCAATCGGGGAATATTATCTAACATTAAATGAGCGACTGTTACAGAGAATATTTACATTCATGGCTTACCGTTACATGCTCATCAATGGCTCTTTTATTATCATTTATGAGGAGCTTGATCCTAGGATCTTATTTCCCTAGGTAAAGCTATAAATAGTAGGTTCAACAGCTATTGTAAGACACCAAATTCTTGGCAAACATATGTTGTATTTTACTTTTGCTCCCAGTTAAACAACTTTACTTATTTTTTTATTATTGCTTTCACTTTTGTTCTCGGAGGCATTGAGCTCGGAGCCAAGTCATCTCCTTCAATTTCAATTACTAAATCTTTGTTTTAATCTTATTTCTTTATTATTTTTTTATCATATCAATTCGGTTGTCTATTAACCACGTAACAAATTCAACTATACCATTTTACGAATAAACAGTTGTAGCGCCTCTATTTACCTAGTTATATTACGGTAGAAACTTAGATTTTAACTTAATTATAATTTGATATATAATTTACTAATTATATATAAATTAATATTAAATTAATATCCCCTAACAGTAGCTTTTAATTTGGTAAATTCCTTTAACTGATCCCCATCCCAAGCCACTGATCCTCCCCTCCCCAGTGACCTCTGAAGCTTATTTTAATTGATTTGAAAGAGATAAAGAAAACCCTAGTTTATTTTTTTTTCCACTAGTTTTGGTGTATGTGTGTTGAACGTGTATACTGTGTTAATCAATAAAGAATTTATATGAAAGAATAAATTTTTGAAGAATACCAATAGATGTTAAAATAAATGCAAATTTGTAAATGATGATTTTTTTTAATTACATTGACGCGATTGCTAAATTCAATATGTTTTGAACATGATAATTCAATATGTAAAAAGTTTACTCGGATTCTTTTTTGTTAAAGTCTAAATCTCTTTTTTACCACCTTTGCCAATCCCAGACGGAATCTACCAAAGATGGCTTTGAAATTTTAAGAGTTCACGGTGATTAGGATTTGTTTTTAATATTATAGGAGAACAAAATGACAAAAGTTATCATTATCTGAAAGTACCAATTATATTTATCGAATATTTAAAACATTAAGTGTGGAAACAAGTTTACATGATATTGTCTCTTTTCATTTTCTTGAGCCAAAAGTCTTTCGAAAATAACCTTTTTATTCTCTCGGGTAGGGGTAAGGTCTGCGTACACACTACCCTTCCTGGACCCTATTAGTGAAATTTTACTGGATCGTTATTGTTGCTTGTTACTTAATTAATTTTTTTATTAGATATAAAAGTTGTTCAACCAAGGAAATAATTTATATAATCTACTTTAATTGATTTTTTAAAGTTCTAAATAACAGAACTTCCTAAATAATTCAAAAAAGAAAATATTAAATATGCAAAGTTTTAGTTGATTTTGAAATATTGAATATTAAATAAATAGTTAAATGATAATTTTTCTTGCCTAATTTGTTACTTGGCATAAATTATTCAAAAAGAAAAAAATTTAAATTCCTAATATAGTCAAATAAGGAAAGATTTAATAATAAAAAAAATTAACTTAATTTTAAAATTCTAAATATTAGGAAAATAATCAAATGACTATTTTGTTTAGTGCGAACTCTATTTCAAAAGGGCAAAAAAATCGAACAATATTTCTTAATGACTTTCGTGCTTTTAATATAGTATATAGATATAGGTAAATATAGATAGATAGATAAGCTTCTGCCGCTGCCTCCTTCCACTGGAGCTGTAACGACTCGACCGGTCGTTTCGTGAGTTATAGTCCCCTTTCCCCCGTTTTGCTTCTTTATGTGTTGTTCAGTTGTATTTCATCGTATCATGTTGGTTGGTTCGGGTCCAGAGTAGTTTTGGAGTGAAATAAGACACTTCGTCTCTTATTTAGAAGTTTAAGTTGGAAAAGTCAACCGGATGTTGACTTATGTGTAGAAGGTATCGGATGTGAATTTTGACGGTTCGGTTAGCCCCATTAGATGATTTTGGACTTAGGAGTGTGTTCGGAATGTAGTTTGGAGGTCCGTGGTAGATTTAGACTTGAATTGGCGAAATTGGAAATTTGGCATTTTCCAGTCTGCAGTGAAAATCTTGATATCGAGATCGGATTGGAATTACGGAAATTGGAGTAGGTCCATAGTGTCATTGGTGATGTGTGTGCAAAATTTCAGGTCATTCGGACGAGGTTTGATAGGTTTCGGCATCGTTTGCGGAATTTGAAAGTTTGGAAGTTCTTAGACTTGAATCCAAGAGTGATTTGGTTTTTTTATGTTGTTTTGAGTTTTCCAAAGGTTTGAATAAGTTTGAATGGTGATATGTGACTTGTTGGTATTTTTGGTTGAGGTCCCGAGGGCCTCGGGATGATTGGATGGTTAACAGAAGAGTTGGACTTTAGTTGGTGCAACTGAAGTTGTTGTTTATGTTATTTCTGCACCTGCGAATTGGGGACCGCATGTGCAAGGTCGCAGATGCGAAAGGGAGACCGCAGATGCGGAATTTGGCCATTAGGAGAAGAACCGCAGATGCGGTGGGTTGGACACATCTGCGGGACCGCAGGTGCGACGCGTGGGGTGCAGATGCGGTCCTGGGCGTTTAAGTGGAAACCGCAGGTGCAGTTTAGTGGACCGCAGAAGCAGCGGTGCAGGTGCGAGATAAGGACTGCATATGCGAAAAATGCTGGGCAGAATGTATAAAAGGGTTCCTTCGCGAATTTTTGCCTATTTCCTCCATTTTTGAAGACGGGTTTTGAGCTTTGGCAGTGATTTTCAAGAGAAATCGAGGGTTATCAGTTGGGTAAGTTACTTGGACCTTATTACTTATGTTTATGATGATTTTTCTACTGTTTAATCATGAAATTAGTGGGAATTTGGAGTGAAGTCGAAGGGGCTAGGGCTTGAGTTTTGGAGAGTTTTAATTGAGGATTTGAGGGGTCAAATGGAGTCGGATTTTGATAAATCTTATATGTATG